AAATATTGCTAAAAGCAGTGTACATATAGATTGTAAATGTAAGAGAACAATTAGTCTAAATCATCCACCGAAACAGATTGAAAATAAGCGTACAGGGAAAACTAGCTGTGAAAACTATATGAATGAACCACTAAAACTCAGTGATCGAAAACCTCGACTGTACAATATCACCAACTGGGACAAAAAGAAAGCATTTCCAGTTTCCTTACATTGGTTGGTTGTTTAACGGCGCACTTAGCAATATTCCAGCTATATGACGGCGGTCTGTAAATAATGGAATCTGAACCAGGCAATCCAGTGATTAACATCATGGGCATCTATCTTCATGAGCACTTAATTTGGATACGATAACATGCGTTAACCAAGTCCCGACCCCGTGTGTCGCCTCTTACGACAGGCATAGTTGCCTTTTACGGCAAGCATGGGTTGCTAAAGACCTATTCTACCCTGGATCTTTACGGGTTTAGTTTCCTTACAACGAAGCGGTATATTGTCACCTGGGTTGAGCATACTTGTTATATAATTATCACCTTATGATTATTTCTGGTTGTATGAAAAAGGGGATTGTTTGTCCTTTCCTATTATCATATCCCAGTGTTGAGTTATGTCCCTTAGTAGTGCAAGTATCCGCTGTTCATGAATTCGAAACTCAAACTTATTATTTTACTCGGATAGCATCATATCCGTGCGAGTGGGTTTCATTTCAGTGGTAAACATTTAGAGAAAGTGCCACTTTGGCGTCCGCGCCTTCATATAATTGAAATCAAACGGAGTAAGTTAAAAAAAATCGCTCAAGAGCTTCTATGGACACCCCCCTGTACCAACGTGCATGCACATGTGTGTGTGGCTGCTTGTACTTGTCCGGACTTATGACGGTTTTATAGTACTAGCCTGCTGAGATACTATGCCGCAGTTTAACATGGATACCTCTCTCAGACACAGTATACTGACTACGACCCGACCAGTCCTTGTTGAATGCCGAGCGCCAGGTGGGGTACAATCTTGACGGGAGGTCCCTAGGCCTCGTATGTACTGTGTATACACAGACCCCAGTTTGTTTGTTTGTTTGTATGTTTGTTTGCTTGTTGTTTAACGCCACACTTAGCAATATTCCAGCTATATGACGGCGGTCTGTAAGTAATCGCATCTGGACCAGACAATCCAGCTATTGTTACCAAATGATAGTTTAGATATGTAAAATATTTCAGATATGCGACACCCTGAGATTTCCTCAGTTGACACAGTGTAAAATGATTAAAGTCCTGTTCAAGACCCGTGAAGATCCAGGGTAGAATAGCTAGACTAACGGGATCGGGTGGTCAGGCTCGCTGACTTGGTTGATCCATGTCATCGATCCCAATTGCGTGGATCGATGCTCATGATATCAATCACTGGATTGTCTAGTCCAGGCTCGATTATTTACAGACCGCCGTCATACAGCTGGAATATTGCTGAGTGCGGCGTTAAACAAAAAACCAACCAACCAACCAGTATGGGCGTGTCTGTCATTGATTTGAGTAGCTGGTACCAAGAATAATCCACTGAACGTGTATACGATGTGTCTACGTCTTCTTTCGTTTTGTCAGTTCTGTTAACGTCTTTGATACTCGTACAACGAACCATGACAACAAACTATTGTGTCAGCGCTTCCACGAAATGTAACACAATGGAGCGTCACGCGTCATTTGTCGTTACTACTGGTTACTCAAACCGAAAGTACGTCTGTCACATGATCGTGTTCATGAGTTGATCGTGTAGAATGAGTGAATGAGTGTATGTCAGCGTGTCCCGGGACGGCATGCAGTGTTGCTCGTTCTCCCGGTTTGGCTCGAGATTATTTACAGGGTCGCCAAGATATCAGGTTTATCGCTTGTGCAAACGCAATATTCGCCATTGCGGATTACAGATAAACAACACAACGTGATTACATTTGCCCTACATGGCCTTGAACTAATGTTCTTTAGGGTCGGACATCCGATATTCTGGGGTTATGGTATTTTGAAATGAATAACGTGTTTGGAAAACGGAGGAAAGGAAATAATTCGTCCTAAGCATTTACAAATATAACGGTTCAATGTACATGCTGGATGTCCTCGAGAAGTGTTAACTTAGCTTCTCCTTTCAGAACAGTAAAATTTTTAAGCACATTTTCAGTCACGTACTAAAGACGCGCTTACAGTCCTTCAAAATGAACAGTTGAAGCACATTGGCATGTCAGCTTGAAGCAGGTATATAAATATGCATTACGTCAAACCTTCTAGTCTGAGCGATTGGGTGTTTTTTTTCATTCTATTTACGATTCTTTCTGCTTACATAGGTTACATATGTGAAACACCTTATGTTATCAGTTTTAGTATGATATTCTATATGTCTTCTTCGGCGTCCGTGGTTTAGTGGATGGAGCGTCTACCCGGAGTGTGGAAGGTAAAAGTTTGATCCCCGGCCGCGTCATACCAAAAGATGGTACTTATTGTTACCCTGCCTGGCGCTCGGCACTAAATGTATAAAAGAAGGACTGTTCGGCCCGGGGTCAGTATACTGTGTCAGGGTGGGGTATTCATGTAAAACTGTGGCATGATGTCTCGGTCGGCTAGCACTACAAAACCGGTATAAATTCGGACTAGAACAAACAGACATTCCGGGCCGACCAGTCCTTGATTTAGCCCCTTAATGCTGAGCGCCAGACAGGGTAACAACAAGTTAACAATTATAATCTTGTAACGTATTTGGGTACGACGCGGCCTTGGACGAATCCCGGACCTTCCGCTCACCGAGCAATCGCAGGTAAACAAGTAAACACAGGACACTGTAAGAACAATGTCATATGTAACGGCATTCTGTAATACACTTTAGGTTTAATTTAAATAATATTACACCATGACATTGGTGATTGCTCGAGACGGCCAGAACGGCATAGGACGTTGCTCATAATATCGGTCCCTGGTTGGTTTCGTCGAGACTGGAAATTTTACAGACCCAACCATATGATAGTAATGTGTTGATCTCACCGTTTCACTTAAGAAAAACAAACATAATTCCATTGTTTTGTGAAATGTGCAAACAAAATACAACTGTCCCAAGATCTTCAATTTTGATCATAATATCACCACAACAAATACTCAGTTTGTCGTGGTGATATGTGATTATAGAGGAGTGTTTGTTTGTTTGTCTATTTGCAATATTCCAACTATATGGCGGCGGTCTGTAAATAATCGACTCTGGACCAGACAATCCAGTGATTGACATCATGACCATCGATCCACGCAATTTGGATACGATAACATGCATCAACCAAGTCAGCGAGCCTAACCACCCGATTCCGTTAGTCGCCTCTGACAAGAAGAATAGTGGCCTTTCCGGCAAGCATGGGTTGCTGAAGACCTATTCTACCCCGGATCTTCACGGGTACATGAGTGTGAGTGCGTAGAATTGTACAACGGACAGCGGACACCATTGGGTCGCTTCACAAAATGTAGTCTTGTGTGAAATGTAACCGAAGTACTTGGCGTGAGTCAAAATGAGGCTATCCACCGCCGTCAAATGATCATAGTGCGCCGACCCAATGCTATGTATTGATCCTGTTAAGAGTATCTGAGCTCAGCTGACAATCAATTGTTACTGATAACGTCTAAAAAACAACTTTTTCACAGCGGTCTTGGCATGAGGCCAGATAAACGGCAGACAACCAATGCATGTAACGCGAAGTTCGTACTCAGCATAATACCGAGAAGCTGAAAGCGAAAAACGTTTTACATTGACTTTCGTATGTGTGTCCATACATAATCACTGTTGTGGTTGGTTGGTTTGTTGTTTAACGCCGCACTCAGCAATATTCCAGCTATATGACGGCGGTCTGTAAATAATCGAGTCTGGACCAGACAATCCAGTGATTGATATCATGAGCATCGATCCACGCAATTGAGATCGATGACATGCATCAACAAGTCAGCGAGCCTGACCACCCGATCCCGTAAGTCGCCTCTCACGACAAGCATAGTGGCCTTTCCAGCATATAAAAACAACAACTGAGGTTTGAAACCTTAACACGATTTATCTGCCTTTTCGCCAACTCGCTTAACGATACAAAATGGTGCCTTTTCCTCCAATGGCAACCGAATAAAACGCTGCCTGCTCAATAGGTGTCAGGAAAATGTCAACTTGACTCACACCATCAGATTCCACCTGGACCAACCAAGCCTGGTGTCCGTAATATGGCTTCGATAAATAATGATGAATCATCCACCTCAACTAGGGTGGCTTGTCGTCCAATCATAAGGCGCCGCCATTCGCTGACATAATGATTCTTAGTTGTTAGCTCCTTTGTCCTTGGTTTCACCAAAGTGGTCAACGTCAGGCTTTCCTTCCACATCATGAATCATCCACCTCAACTAGGGTGGCTTGTCGTCTGATCATCAGGCGCCGCCATTCGCTGACATAATGATTCTTAGTTGATGGCTCCTTTACCCTGGGCTTCACCAAAGTGGTCAACGTCAGGCTTTCCTTCCACATCATGAATCATCCACCTCAACTAGGGTGGCTTGTCGTCCAATCATAAGGCGCCGCCATTCGCTGACATAATGATTCTTAGTTGATGGCTCCTTTACCCTGGGCTTCACCAAAGTGGTCAACGTCAGGCTTTCCTTCCACATCATGAATCATCCACCTCAACTAGGGTAGCTTGTCGTCCAATCATCAGGCGCCGCCATTCGCTGACATAATGATTCTTAGTTGATGGCTCCTTTGCCCTGGGTTTCACCAAAGTGGTCAACGTCAGGCTTTCCTTCCACATCATGAATCATCCACCTCAACTAGGGTGGCTTGTCGTCTAATCATCAGGCGCCGCCATTCGCTGACATAATGATTCTTAGTTGATGGCTCCTTTACCTTGGGCTTCACCAAAGTGGTCAACGTCAGGCTTTCCTTCCACATCATGAATCATCCACCTCAACTAGGGTGGCTTGTCGTCCAATCATAAGGCGCCGCCATTCGCTGACATAATGATTCTTAGTTGTTAGCTCCTTTGCCCTGGGCTTCACCAAAGTGGTCAACGTCAGGCTTTCCTTCCACATCATGCTGACATATCGTGATATTTAACTGGAATGCAGTTCAAAGCGGCATTAAACAAACTCAATCACTATACACCTTCAGTAGATAAATCCGAAGGAGTTTAAGGGACGCATACACCTACAAAAACAACCAAGCGAGTGCAAATAAGAAAGTTGGATGTAAACGATGTAGAAGAAGTAAATATTATAAACACTGGAGAAGAAGCAGTGAAAACTATAAACAATGTATTGGTAACAGTAGATATAATAAACAGCGATGCATAAGCAATAAATATAATATACAGCAATATAGAAGCATGTATTGGTAGCACTTATTATAAAAAACAAGGATGAAAAGCAATAAATATAATAAACAACGATGTTGAAGCAGTATATATAATAAACAATTATGTAGAAATAGTCAAAATAATAAACAACGACGTAGAAACGGTAAAAATAATAAACAAATTTTGAATGATGTTGAAGTAGTAAATATAATAATAACACCGAAGAGAAGCAGTGAAAACAATACATAATGTATTGGTAGTAGTAGATATAATAAACAGCGATGTAGCAGCAATATATATAATAAACAACAATATAAGAACATGTATTGGTAGCACTTATTATAATAACAACAACGATGTAGAAGCACAAAATATTTAAAAAAACAAGCACGTACAAACAGTAAACATAAAAAACTGATGTTGAAGAAGTAAATATAAAGAAGAAGCAATGACAATTATAAACAATGATATAAGTGAGGTGAAATGGGGTTTAACGTCGCGTCCAAGATTATTGCACTTATATAGCGACGTGCATGTACGTGTGTGTGTTTGTGTGGCTGCTTGTACTAGTCCGGACTGATGCCGATTTACAGTGCTAGCTCACTGAGATACCATGCCGCAGTTTAACATGAATACCCCACTCAGACACAGTATACTGACTCCGAGCCGACCAGTCCTTGTTCTGTTATTGCCGAGCGCCAGACAGGGTAACAATCTTTTGGTATGACGCGGCCGGGGATCGAACCCCGGACTTTCCGCTCTCCGGGCGGACGCTCTACCACTAGACCACGGAGGCGGTCAACAATGATATTAAGTACAAATATGAATGAAATAGTAAAGATTATAAACAGTGGTGTAGAAGCAGAACCAAATATAGCAAACAACTATACAATAGCAGCAGTAGGAGATAATTCATGTTTAAATACAACCAGCAGTAAATGTATAGCTGTCGTAGGGATAGTATTGGCAAAAGCAGATATGTTTTACAATTTCGGGTTGTGACTTAATGTGACTAAACTCAGCATCAGTGAGATCTCTGCTGCCAGTTGCGCCCTAGGTAGAGACAAGCGTTGATTTCTTGACTCTCTTGAAACTGAGTGATGCTTCGCCGTCTAAGTCATTCTCACTCCTGGAAACAGAATATCTTCAGACATTTTCAGAACGTCGGCATTGAAAGTTTACCTAATTAAGGCTTGGTACAACCATTTTAAAAAACTGAGATGGAAATACTGCATTTGTACACAGTATCCAACATCCCAACCCAAATCGCCATGTGTTTGGTTGAGCTTTGAAATGCCTTTCGTGCATGAGGTGAAGTCGTGCGGACGACTTTAACTAGAATTGTTATCAAAGCCCACCATTACGAACTTATCAAGGTCGTCCTTTACCTAACGAGCACTTTCAGCTGTTTCTTTAATAACTTAGTGGGCACATCAAATTAAAACCTTCAAAGCCAGACAATATTCATGCAGTCTCGATAATCTACCGAAACAGATTCCACTGGAGTACAAAGGCATATAGAAATGACAATGATAAATGGATTACTGAAAATCAGTGATGACACCAGGTGTTCACGAAACGGATAAGACATGTTGGAGATTAGAAAGTAAAAGACCCATGTTTGATTCCTCGCTTGAGTAAAATAAGTTACACCCATTCCTGCTGTTGTCCACTGTCACATGGCTTGGATAATGCGAAACAGTGGTGTGAAACGGTACTAACTATACGCTAGACACAATATCACACAGGTATATGAAATATACTTACTCTTTAATATATTCTCTGAATTTTGTTTCCAAAGCGCAACTGTCAGCAACATCTGTCCACTCTTCGCCAGTCTTCATCCAAGACCAAACCCAATTCGCTGGTGCTGAGGAGGTACGACACTCTTCCTGTTCCACTATATCTTCTTTATTTGTCTGTCCCTGATTCCCATGATGCCCTAACTCGTCTCTATTTGTCTCTGTGCTGGACTTGGTGTCTCCGTTGTTCTCAGTATCACCAGAGGCCTTTTGTGTTCGTGACTGGTTCGCGTTGGTTGCTATGTTTCGGAGAGCCTTAACAATGTCTTCTGTAGTTTCTTCTGCCATCCCATAAGATGACAGGATGCGTTTTGGGTTTTCGTCTTCCAAATCATGAGTCAAATTACAACTGAATCCTGCTTTACATGTGCCTTTGATGTACTTTTCACATCCGTGAAGGAACTGGCCATGGCCCTCTTGATACCTGCATCTACGTAAACCAATCCTGTTGTAGTATTTGCATATTACTGGTAGAGTTGTGTCATTCCTATACCTCAGGTCACGTATTTGATGAAGTGCAGACTCTTGGTCAAAACAATGAAGCAAGGACCTCCTCATAACTACTTTGTTATGTTCTGTTTTCAGGTCGTGTCTAAAGAGACATTTGCTGCCTCTGTCGCATTCCCTTAAAACGAAATTCCTGCAGATGTGAAGACCCATGCAATCACGTTTGCAGGATCCTGATGTTTTGGAATGTGCAAGACACAGTTGAATGCTTAGCTGTACAATAACATCCCGTCTATCTTCTGGGATGTCCTTTGCAACTTCATCTTTGTTTGTGATGGCATCTCTGTTGGGTTCCTCTTTCACCTCAAAGACGTCATAATTTTTCAAGAACGAATACAAACTCTCAGATGTGTCAAACTTTCTGATCCCATCAAGTTGAAGCCGTTCCCTAAGATACCCCAATTGAGTACGTCCTTTGTATTTTTGGCATAATGTTTGAAGAATTTTACTTGCAATGTCGTCATTATTCTCAGGGCTTGCTCTGTCATTTCCATATTCCACATCCTTCATGTCATTTATTTTCCTTTTCTTAATTTTCTCGTTTCCTAAGACACCAGCTGACCTTGAAACTGCCTTTGGTACGTCCTTCAGGTCGATGTTTGAAGCCTTGTTGTCGTCATAGGAGCTACTCAAAGAGCCTTCGACAACTAGGTGCCTCTTCCTAGATGTACACTCTCCTTCACCTTCCGGCCAGTTATTATCGTTTGGTCGATATTGGACTTGTGACTTGTTCTTATTATTCAATTTGCCATAAGCCTTAGTGTTCTTGTGTCCTGTTAGCCGTAAACAAAGTTCACATTAATAATGCAGTGAGCACAGGTGGCTCAGTTGTTTAAGACGATGCGTTTCGCAGAGTTACGTCCCGTAGGCGTGCAAAAAAACAATGATCGTATGTTCGAATCCCCAAATTGTTTCTAGATCTGTCAGCACCATACATGTGGTACATATTATTCATATATGTAGGACAGTAATGCAATCTTATGGGATGTTGGGAGTTTTGTTTAAGAGAGAATATGTGTTCTGATGTCAAATGATCGTACCATATGTTTCCGTGTGTTTTAGGTGCAAAAGTGACTTGCCTTTGCGTGTGTTCGTGTCTTGTGCCACCGATGGGACAGGATACGATCACATTTTCGCGAACACCTGATATCATCGCTATGTGATAGCGACTCATAAACACATGCTCATTACATAGTCTGAACCGTACAATGGACTCCACTTTTAGCAGAGAGGAAAGGAAAGGGTTGTGTCTCCTTTATTTGGGTCAGCCCTTCGACACATACATTTTTCTACTCTGAACGGAGGAGTAACAAACTTTTTGAGGGACTTCTAAACCAATATCTTTCCGGACATCCAGTATGTCCAGAGAAGGCGCCATGTAACACATGAATAGCATAAGGTGAGATATAACCCTCGAAATAATTAACAAAAGAATTACGTTTTTTCCATCTTATCATAAATCCCATCGCCAAAATCTGAAATATCCTTCTGAAATATTTAGCAGATTAACAACTTGTACAGCTAATCTTGTTCCAGTGTGTCAAAAGTATGTTGGAATGAACCACATGTGATCTTAAAGTATTGTAATGCACAGGGCATTTTGTTTCATGGTCAAGTGATAGTTCCTGATAGTTCAGAATCTGTACAAAATGTATATATTTCAGTATGGTTATGACTGATTTAGTTTGCATACAACTAGAAAAAGGGTAATAACGCTCTGTCTGGATGAGGCAACAGAACCTTATTATGCAGGTGATGTGCCTGAAATTACCTCGCGCACGTCCATGTCCCCGCCATACGCTTTCATCACTTTGTCCACGTCCACGTCCACGTCCACGTCCACGTCCAATTCCACCTCCACCTCCACGCCTACCTCCACCTCCAACTCGACCACCACGTCCTTTACTACCTCGACCTCTTTTGGTTTTGCCCATGCCAATGTTAGTATGATTCTGATTGATACTGTAATCCTATACAGTTCTCCTCTCCGCTGCAGGACAACGCAGGCTCACTTACAAAGTGTGTTATATACACATCAAACATATGTGTCGTGTGCATAATGTCAGGCTGACCAGTTCTATATTGAAACGTAAATATTGATTCGTGTGAAGCTCTGAACGACGACGGAATGTACCTCCCAAGCACTACTCATATGACAAACCACTCTATACCAAGTGCAGACTTCACTAAGGCTTAATAACACTTACATGTCTAATAGCCGAGTGTGTGATATATGATGACACAAAAAACATAATGCACCGATACTTTGATAAAAAATGATAAATGAAATATATACACCTGGATCAAAGATTAATAACCACTTTCTATATATACTACTCAAAAGAAGTTAAAGAATACCCAAATAAGTTATCGAAATCACTCAAAAAATAGATCGTGGACACAGGAACAACACTGATTGGGAAAGATAAGTATTTAATCATGACATTTCATTGACGAAAGAAACGCTGGCATACAGCTGATCAGAGATAAACAATATGAACTGCATGTACCCTATAAATCAAAAGTCACACACTACAGTTCAGTATAATCCTGTTCCTTCAATATCGGGTATGCCCACCCCTGGAAGCAATACAGTCCTGACATCTTCTGCGGACAAGCTGCTGCAGTGTTGCCTGTGGAATTGCTTGCCATTCCTGATGAAGAAATCCTAACAGTTGCTGGAGATTAACAGGAGGTGGATGGTTAGCTTGAACAGCTCTTCCCAAGGCATCCCAAAGATGTTCAATGGGCGCCAGATCTGGCGAATAAGCAGGCCATTGCATAACGGTAATCTGCCTTTGTGTGTGATAGTCAGTGATAATCCGAGCGCGGTGGGGTCTTGCATTGTCGTCCTGAAAGATGGCACCTTGACCAATCTGACGAAGTGTGGGCAATACCAGGGGTTCAAGAATCTCATCACGGTACCTGGCAGCATTCAAATTCCCGACAATATGGTACAGAGGAGTCCTGTGATTCCAACTGAATCCTCCCCATAACATCACTGATCCCCCACCAAAAGCGACACGTTCACGTACTGTGGCATCAGTGTGAATCTCTCTCCAGTACAACGCCACACCCGTATTCTTCCATCATTGAGCTCCAAACAGAATCGCGACTCGTCTGTAAACAGTACACGAGACCATTGCTGTCTGTTCTAACGCACATGTTGTCGACACCAAGCCAGACGTGCTGTTCTGTGAACTGGACGTAAAGGTGGTCTCACTGCTTGTCGTCGACTTTTCAAGTTCGCAGCTCGTAAACGGTTTCGCACCGTCTGATCACTAACAACAGTGGTATTGACAGCCCTTAACTGTAACCTGAGGTTGTTTGCTGTTGATGTACGCTGCCTGAGTGCTTGGAGAACCAGGTATCGGTCATCACGTTGTGAGGTACACCTTGGCCGTCCAGAAAGGTGTCGCTCTTGCACTCTGCCAGTGGCAGCAAAACGATGCCAAAGGGTGTGAATGACAGAGGGCGACACCTTCAATCTTCTGCCCACCTCACGTAAATAAAGGCCATCGTGGAGCCAACCAATAGCTCGTCCTCTATCAACATCAGTCAGATGTCGTCTCTGTGGCATGGTTTTGGAAAGTGTGATTACAAGATCATCGTCATCGCCTTCTTAAAGGGAAAGCATGCACGTGCACCGTGAACATCACCACTTTCATATGCTGAGCATGGAAATTGTGTTGGTTGTTGCTAAGGACAGGTGCAGCGTTGTGTTTGGGCGACATTATTCCTGTGTTTTGCTCATGTTTTCAATTCATTTGCATGACTAGCAGAAGTGTTACCAGAAAGTGTCAGGAGGACCAGCAATACCCCAGACGTGGTACAACATGTTGCCAAACATTAGATGATAGTAATGTTATAACACATAATGCCATGACCAATTTGCTAAATCGTGTATTATATATCTGGTGTTCTTTAACTTCTTTTGAGTAGTATATAATGAACCAAATTAAAAACCTCACAATCCTAAAATTTTAACATTATGACCAGTTATCATTGTGGGCCCTTATTGTGTATTTAAACAGTAATGGCCACGTATTGTCTTCAGATAATTATAACACCCGTTTTTTGTGCAGGTGAATCGATCAAAATCATGTGCACAGCACTATAGTGGCAAAAGTGTTTTTTCACGTGCAACTGGTCACGTGGCCATAATACCGCACGTGTTTTCAGCCATACTTGTTAGCAGTCATTAACAAAAAAAGATAAACAAGAAAACAAAAGTCCTTACGGCCATTTGTCATGCCACGCCTTTCAAATGTGCAACGTGAACGTGCCATCGGTATGTTGCAGACGGGAACGTCCGTAGCTGAAGCCGCAAGGACGATGGGTTGCAGTCGACCGACTGTTTATGATTTACAGACGCGTCTACAGCAAACGGGTACCACCGCTGATCGTCCTCGGCCAGGTCGACCACGTGTGACGTCACATGCAGAGGATCGTCAGATTGTCTGATGTCACCTCCGTAACCGATTTTTGACGGCTACATCAACCAGAAATGAACTGTTTAGGGGTAGACTGAGTGCGCAAACTGTTCGAAGCCCTCTGAGAACTGCTCACCTTCAAGCACGACGGCCATACTGCGGGCCGATTCTGACTCAATTACACAGACGTCAACGTCAATTGTGGGCACAGCGACACTTACGATGGACTCAGAGGAATTGGAATCAAGTCGTCTTCAGTGATAAATCCCGATTTAATCTTCGATTTGCTGATGGTAGGGCGAGGGTGTGGAGGCGCCGTCATGAACGTTACGCCCAGTGTTGTGTACAGGAAGTTGACAGATTTCGAGGCGGAAGTGTCATGGTGTGGGGTGCTTTCTGTGGCAATGCACGTTCCAGGTTTATTGTCATCCCTGGCAACCTCAACGCTGCTGCTTACCGCGACCAGGTACTGGCACCAGAACTTCTGCCTTTTATGGCAGCACATGGACCCGGTTTGATCTTCCAACACGACAATGCCAGACCCAACACAGCAATTTTGACAAGGAATTTCATTCAGAATGTGGGAGTCAACGTCATGGACTGGCCGTCAAGGTCTCCCGACCTCAATCCCATCGAACACGTCTGGGATGCTCTTCGCAGAAGTCTGCGCACTCTCCAGAACCAACCACAGAATTTGCAAGACCTTGGCGTCATTTTGCAGCAACAATGGCGTCGTCTTCCCAATCATGTGTTCACAAGTATCACAAGGTCCATGCGGAGGCGTTGTGTGGCAGTTGTCAAAGTACATGTTGGCCATAGACGCTACAGAACTTGTGTGCCATCAGATTCTCGTGCTTGGTTTCCACCGTTAATTAAAATCCTTCTTTGGACATTAATGATAAAAAATTACCTTCTCTGATACATTTGTCCGTTGTATATCATATATGGGATTACTTTAAAAATGTGAAGTTTTTAATTTGACTCAGTATATTTCCTTCACGTTTCTGAAGTATTTCGTTTTACTTGTAAACAGCAGACGTTAGTCAAAATTAACATATCGTTTTTCGTTTAAAGAAATTTAGTAAACGTGCTATAGCGTCACTTGATTTTCTGGCCCAGCACCTGTCTGGTTTGTTTGCATTCCACCGTAGCAAGGCATGAATACGGATAAATGGCGTCAGGCAACAACCAACCACGTACTTGTTATACAAACCATGTGAGTGGCAGGCGCTACCGGCAGGGCAGGACATGCTTATCCTTTTCACAAACATCTGGTGTCCTCACTGATTTTCAGTGATCAATTCATGCAATTGTCACCGCTATTTTGCATTTTACGTCCAGTGGGATCTGTTTGTACTCAAGACTTAATATGCTCTGGTGTCTCAAGTTTTATATTATATACCTGCCCTGTATGTGTATATAAATTACACGTCAGATGTCCGAATAGATCCCCAGTACAGCTCTTGTCGTGAGGCCCGACTTGTGTGAAGATATTTCAAACCCAGGTGCCAGCTTCCATTTTGCCCAAACCTTCATTTTAATTTTGATCTAGAAAAACATATTTCATGCACAAAACTCATGTTGCTTTTTTAAATTGCTTTCAATTGTTTCTTTTTTAATGCCTTCCCTCCTGAATTTGTATAATGAATGGTTCTGTACTGTTATAATATGTGTATATGTAACAAATGTTGTACAGAAGTGAGACCTAAATAGACTATTGTCTGTCTGTTTGTCTTGACTGATTGCGAATCATTGTATGGGGACAGCGTGGGACGTTTTTTATATAAAACGTCATAATCAGAAAATTACTTGAAGATTGGGACAGTTTGCTCATGATAATAACATTTTAAATCCTACGCGAGCAGGTTTTAGAAAAGAATTTTCTACTTGTGATAACATCTTTGCAATGCAAATGTTGAAATAATGAAAACAAAATTATATTCAGTTTTCATAGATTTCACTAAAGCCTTCGATATAGTATGGAGAGTTGGTCTATGGCATAAACTTCAAAAACTTGGAATAAAAGGAATTTTTTCACCCTGGTCAAGAATATGTACCACAACATCAAATCTAAAATTACCATTAATAACCAGTTCTCTGACGATTTCATTTGTCTTGATGGTGTACTGCAGGGTGAAAACCTTTCCCCTCTCCTATTTTCATTATTCCTAAATGATCTTGAACAATATCTGCTGAACAATGAATGTAAAGGTGTTGACCTTGTAAATCTGATCGATACCAACCTAACTGTGTCTTTCTAGGTCCTAATACTGCTCTATGCTGGTGATAATAAATGATAACTCTAAAGACCTACAAAAATAGTTACATCAGTTTTCCGACTACTGTGCTTTACGGAAGTTAGAAACAAATCGTAAGAAACAAATCCGTTAATCACATAATCAAGAAAGACCTTAACCTATGTGTTCACTGCCATAAGATATGTTTAAAGTGATTACATTGATTGATGACCCGTGAAGATTCCGGGGTAGAATAGGTCTTCAGCAACCCATGCTTGCCGTAAAAGGTGACTAGGCTTGTCGTAAAAGGCGACTAACGGGATCGGGTGGTCAGGCTCGCTGACTTGGTTGATGCATGTCATCGATCCCAAATGCGTGGATCGATGCGCATGATATTAATCACTGGATTGTCTGGTCCAGACTCGATTATTTACAGACCGCCGTCATATAGCTGGAATATTGCTGAGTGCGGCGTTAAACAACAAACCAACCAACCAACATTGATTGATGCCAGGTTTCAGTCGTAAAGTGTAAATATTCAAAAGGTTTAGGTGACACAACAGTTAGGCACAAAGCGGTTTTAGGTCACCAGTCAGTTATACGTCATGTGATCGAGGGCTTATACGATTATACGAGGTCCTTCTGTCAAGCAGCATTCCAGCAGCTCCAGCCTTTGGTGTCTACATTTCACAACTATTGAGATACAATCAAGCGTCAGACGGCTCTTGCTCAAAATGTGTTGGTCAGACACGTTGTGTGGCTTGTTCAGATGTACATTTGAGTTGCTGGCAGAAGTACGGCTGTGCGGGGTTCGGCAACAAACGCTTGTTTATACAAATTGTGTGCGTGACGGTGCTACCCTTACAGCAGGGCGTGTTTACACTTTTCGCAAATACCGTGTGATCCTTGCATATAGGTTTCACCACAATATTGAAGCAATTGCACGACTGGAGACACCGGATTCCCACATTCTATTGAAACTGAACGTTTAAACCATTTTTTTTATTCTGGCCGCACCACGCCCGTGTTCGTGGATTTCACTAAAGTAGTAAACTCGAAGACCGGTTTTCCTCGCACATTAAGTTGGCACGGTACAGGCCTCGTGTTCTGTACTGTTCAATGCAGCGATTATATAACCAACTCACTCACCAACTCATTGTTCCCTGAAAACCTATATGATACATATGGCGCTACCGTAGCTACGATTGGAAAGATCGAATCCCACCTAGTAACAAGAACTTCCTCTTTTGTGTTAGTTGCATTCTCCCTTCCTTTCTACTATATATAGAATACGACTTTGAAATATAACAGGGCAATATCAGTAATATACAATTGACTACATAACTATATATCGATATTTTTCATTGTTGATGTAATGTAAAAACAGTCTTTATGATTTACACTCAATTCAATGAACGGACTTCTTCTTCTTTTTCTTATTATTATTATCATTATTATTTACAGACTATCCTGGCACAATCAGGCTGGTTAGGTTCATCATCAGCTCAGTGCCCTTGCCCCCTCTACACGCTGCCCAGACAGCGAATGGGAAGGAAGCATTGTGTAGTCAAACCCACCCAGAACTTTTCGGAGAATGTGAAGACTCCCCAACACTGCAGCCTTCTGCATTACCCAGAGTGTCAAAAGGGTTGTATTCCTAGTAGCAAAGCCGGGTACTCTCCCAATCTCAGTCAACGGCTTGGGAGGTACCAAACCTTAAGGCATATTATTATTGACTTAATGGTTGGTGTAGTTTGACAGTAATCAAAACAAAACAATACGTATGATTATGCTGTTTATTACGTCACATATCAAGCTGTGACATCATGTTCAAGTTCCATTCCTGGATATACTACTTCCTCTTGGCATCTTCGGTACTTTTAATACAGTTCTTCAAGACACACATGTAAAAACATGCTCCCTTGTCCCTATGCTTCTCTAAGTAGATATCACCTTCTTACTGGGATTTTAGATGACCAATGTTGCCTTCAACATTTAACACCATCAATGACGTCATTCCCGTAGTTTCTTCTCCATAGGTTTAGTCAGCAATAAAGATCACAAACTTTTATGTCATGTTTCCTATCATCCGTCCAAGGACAGAGAGTTGACCATGACCAAACCAAACCAAAAGATAGCATTAATGGTAATAGAAACAGAAGCTGTAGTAGTAGTAGTAGTAGTAGTAGTAGTAGTAGTAGTAGTAGTAGTAGTAGTTTTAGTATGTTGTTATGCTATGATAAAACATACTGGAAACTAGCCACGGGTATAGAAAAAGGCAACTTTATAATATGATTGCCAAGGAAATCAAGGAAATCAAACAAACTCCATAGCGTAAGACACAGGAACGAAATTGAGAGAAGACATTTGTCAACGTAGCTTCTTGTCTAGTTTCAGACAAATATGACAACAAACAAATTAAATCTATTTGCCTGCACAAGCAAAGTGCAAAGGTTTAGTACTAGCAGTAGCAGATGCTGATCATTTCTGGTTTCTGTCTATGGTGTTTCAGAATGAAGATCGTTAACACATTGTGCTAAACTACCACTTGTAGCAACATCAGTGGCAGCACCTACATCAGAATCAGTAACATTGGTAACAGGACAGTGGCCCGTTGTGCCCGAAGAAGAACACTTTGTGTCCTTCTTTGGCGTCCTGACTCTCATGAAACTGAGTGAAACGTCCCCATCGATCACTCCAGTCTTTGTGGCAAAGTCTACCTCACACCTGCAACAGAATGATTTGAAAACACTTATTGGCACATTTTTTAGACTTGTATACGTGGTTTAAATATTTGGAAAGACATCAGCCAACACCTTGGGAACACCTTGGCAATATCTGTAACATCTGGGTATGATTTTAAAAGTTAATATGTTTGGAGTACACGTGTGAACACTATGTGATGATTTTAGAGTGTAAAAGCCATATTATGTACACAATGTAAGGGTGTACAATCGCAGGAGACCTAAATTCAGAAAACTATCAAAATAGTTTGTCAAATGTACCTGTAGATACTATCACCAACCCTGAAATTTGGATTTTTTACTTCCTTTCTTCCTCTTCCGTCCTTCTCTGGATATTCCTTCACACAAACTGACAAAGCAAAGCATTTACCAGATACGGACATCTGTGAAATGTGAGGTGCTTAATATACTCACATTTGACCATTGATAAGAAAGCTCTTCTTCCTGGCTTGAATATATTCTCTGTAGCTTTGCTCATAAGCGTGACTGTCGGTGACATTACACAGAGTCCCACGAGGGTGTATCCATGACCATGTCCAGTCCCCTGTACACGAGGTGCTGAGATCTTCATCTGGTTCCTTCTCCTCTTCCTCATCTTCCACTTCCACCCGAAGCTGTCCATCTTCGTCACTCGCTTCAGAAGGCTTCTCTGAGACTTTCTTTGTTTCAGTAGGACCAGTCGCAGTACTAGAAAAATATCTTGAGACTTGAGCCACATTATTTGTTTTTGGCCATGTCTTTGTTATATCCACCTGTGGACAACTGATGTATGTCAGTAGAAGCTTGAGCATTTCTTCCCTGGTTGACACTATGATTCTTGTTGATTGCTATAGCTTTAAGGGTTTTGACAACCAATTCTTTCTCCTCATCATTCGTTGGATTTATTCCAATACGTCGAAGGCAATGTAATGGTTGGTTTGCCCCAACATCATGAGAATGATTGCACCTGTATGAAGTACTGCAGGTTCCATGAAGGAATGCTTCACACACATGGAGAAATCCGCATTCAGCCTTGTTGCAGCCCATTGGTTTGTTGTAGTAATTACATATTCCTGGAACAGTAGTGGAATTCCTATATCTTAGGAAACGCAGGACATCGATTTCAATTTCAGTTTTGAATGTTTGCAGCAACGATTTTCTCATAACCTCTTTGTTGTGTTCTGTGTACATGTCGTGACCAAAGATGCATTTCTTTCCCTGTTCTTGCATGTCACATTTATTCAACATGAAATATTTGCATACATGAAGGCTCCCGCAATCTTGTTTACATGATCCCACACGCTTTGAATGTTGCAGACACAGGAGTAGATTTGGATGTCCAGTCACATAAAACTTGTCCTCAGCAAATGTATCCTCGACTTCACCATCTTCAATCATTCCCTCCTCTCTATCAGTGTTTCCTTCTATTTTGAAAACGTTGTCATAATGTTTCAGGAAGCCATACAATGTTTGCGAGTTCGAAAAATTGATATACCTTTTTTGGTGTAGAGCTTTTCTCAGACTTGCTAAATCAACTTTGCCGGGGAAATCTACACACACTGTTCGGAGAATCAAACTAGCCAGGTCTTCTTTCTCTGTTGTGCTTGACGATTTCAATTTCTCTTCTGAATCAACTGGTTTAGCCATGCCGGTGTTTTCACCAAGGGTAACAGTAGTCATGTCATGGTTTACTCTGCTATCATTGCATTCCTTCATTCTGTCATCAATGTTTCCATTTTCATTTCTTTTTTTTAGTTTTCGTTTCTTCTTTGACCCAAGCTCAGCAGGTGACAGGTCCCTTCTGAACAGTTCATGTGGTTTGTGATACCCTGTGTTGTTTGAATGATCAACTCTTTCGTCAATATTCTGCTTGTATTTCATTCTTCTGAGTCCATCCGATGACCTGCTCCCATGTGGATCTCGAAAGATGCCTGATCCTTTTGAGTCATCAGAAGAAGGGTGCCTTTTTCGAGATCTACTTACCCTTACCCCTGGCAACCCATTCTGTTCATGTGAACAAGATCTGCTGTTTCTATCGGAATGTCGGTATTTTAAGCTTCTCTCACTGAATCTGATATCTGTGTCCTGTTCTTCCACAGTGTCCTTCCTGCTGTTCCTGCCTATGTCCTGTATGTCCCTTGGATGTCCATAATGTCTCCAGCCTGTCTCTCTCGTGGGACTTCCATGAGACATGACTACTTGTTCCTGATCTTGTATGTCCCTGTGCACCACCTCCACTCTTCGGGCATTGTCCGGTGCATGTCCGACCTCTCTCTCACCAACAAAGTGGCTTGTGTATATAAACCTCAGATCTGTACCAACGGCAAATATACAATCATGATGATTATGCATGTAAGATCGATTCTTGATTGTGACACGTCATGATAGTTGAAAGAGTAATGTTATCACAATAGCTGGGATATATAGAGAATGTGATGTGACATAGCATTTGAACCCAAGCCATCCTCTCGTCTGATCACTGCTAAGCTATTTACTACAGACTACCTGGTATATTAATACGTATACTGTTTGTTTTAACTTTACTCAAACTTCTCAAAACATTCACTTCATATTCTTTGAAACCCTTGTTACTTCACAGAATTACATCTACGGTGTTTTACAAGTGTTTGCCTAGAGAAGTTGTTCATAGATTTTGATTTTTATTGTTCATAACCATGCTGTGTTAAATGTGCTGGAATAATGAAATAAAAGTATTTGAAACCTTAAAGGAATTCACACTGTTTCAACATTCCTATAGAATAACAATGAGTGATATTAATATTCTTAATGAAAAAGAGCGACGGTGGAAGAGTTGACTTGCTTTTGCATGTGTTTTTGACTGGTTCCGCCGGTGGGACAGGATAGGCGCACTTTTCAGCGAACACCTGGTATCATGACTATTTGATAGTGATCATAAAATCATGCTCATGATATAGACGGAATCGTTCGATCGACTCTGCTTAAAGCAGTGATTCTTATGGATAGTGAAAGGGTTGTGTTGCTTTTATTGTTATGCGGGTGCAGGAAACCAAAATCAATCCGTGGTTCAAATCACCCTTGAGTGATCCAGGCCTCGGCTGAGTGTTTCCATCCTAGGCTCAGATCACTCCTCGAGGCTGAGATCACTCCGCATAGGCCCAAATCACTCACCGGGCTCAATGCAACCCACTTGCTATCTCAAATATCCATGTTTGATTTTATGTTCTGATATGTTTGTGTATACATTGATTGAAGGCGTATGTGGTTGGTGTTGTGGGGTGTGCATTTTGCTTGAATGACACATGTGCCCACCCCCAATGTTGTGGAGTCGCCTCTCACACATATGTATCCTAAACCGCCCTGTAAATGTGGTCCCAAATTCGACGATCAGTATCACTACATATTTATTTGTCCATTCTTTCATATATTGATTCATAGACACAAGCTGATGATACAGTCGGAATTAAACAGTGGACTAAGATTTCTAAGGGTTATAGTAAGGGTTCTGACGCTTTTATTTAAGACATTGCAAACAACTTTGTAGAACAAGTTGTGTTCTTATGTGTTTATATAAATGTTTATATCTTATTTTATTCATATTTAATTTTCTACATGATTTTATTTTATATGATATCTTTCCTTGCACGTGTGTATGTTTGGTTGAAACCAGACGGTAAAACAACATGTTTCCTTAAAACATAAAGGGAACAACTCCATGTGCATTATAGGAATCCCAAATGCCTAATTAATTCGTATGCAGAAACCATTCCAGATATCAATACTCATATCAATGCGTTCTACATGTGCATACATTTTACACATGGGATACCAACAAGGTCCCAGTTTTCTTGGAGCATATTGTTTCGCTCCATTTTGCCTTTTATATTTTCACAATGGTTGTTTACAACACGTGTATTGATCGATAACATCTGGTGTTCATCATTAATTTAATGTCAGGGCTTTGTCTTACATGAATATGTGTGCATGTCCTGGCCACAAATTTCAGCAAGAACTTGCTGATGTCGTTTAAATAATATTGTATTCAAGAAACAATAGTCACAAATAGTTACCGGAACTGACATCTAAATATTTGTATCTCCCTTTAAAATAACTTTGTGATAATGGAATGTATTCTCTCCGGGGAAACTCCTACAAGCAATATGATGCACTGCAAACACGAAAACGTCATTTTTTTCCGTATATGGTCATTGGACGGAAAAACGACGTTATTTGGACGTTTTCAAACCATCGTTTTTCCGTCCAAATAACGTCGTTATTTGACATCGGAATTTACTGGGAGAGAACGATACCGTTAAGCTCCTCCCTTTCTTGATTGACATTGTCAATCAAGCAACAGCGTCTACCGGTATTTCTACTTCTCAGATTTCATTGGTCAGTCCTCGCGTGTTAGATTACAGGACCGCGTTTGACGCTGCACTCGAAGCGCTAAGCGGAAGTACTGAAATCAATCGTTCTGCGCATGCTGATTACTTAATGCCTTGACCAAATTTCCGTTCTGTGCATGCGCGATTTCGCGTATTGTTTCCTAGATTTAATGTCACCACTATTTGACAATGTTTCATAAACACAGTCACGTGAAGGTTCGGAATCGTAACAAGTAACTCCATTTAAATTGAAGAGGATCCCCAGTGATATGGGAGATTCCAAGATGAAACTATTCTATGGCTATCTAGGCTGCCACCCAAACCGATCTAAACGGGACCCGATAGCTTATTGTATGCTATATAGTCATATAGAAGTGGACAAGAACTATACAATGTATTCCGGCCGATTGTTCTTGCATTTACTTATAAGTCAGGAAAATAGACTTAAAAGGGGAGTTGTTGAATGTAATTATTTTAATTATTAAATGTTGCCTATACACTAATCTGGACGAACTTCTCATTGTTCTGTTTATGTCATCCTATATACTATTAGTATGTTACCGTTCTAAAGTCAACCTCTCACATAACATTATATTGTTCATAGTATCAAAGTTTAATCAACAATATCAAGAGCAGCAATTTAAACCACTGATACACCCAAACACAAGGCTGTTATCAAGCGCTAGTGCAGACGTGATGCATCGTAAAAACTGTATCGTGATGTCTTCAGAAATTCAATTTATTATGCTACGAGATAGTACGGCTAACGATTGAATCACGGGGGAACGAAGACAATATCGCTAATACAGATATAACGTATTTGAATGTTAATACTAAAGACAAACAATCATTATTTTTGCAGTGACGATATAACACTTATACACGTTTATTGGTAACTTTCATCACTTTTGCTCTTCATTTTAATAACTGTGTTTTCACATATGTATGTAGCAATACCCGACAAGCATGTCATACATAATTATGGGGCAGTTTTCAATCTTGTACTGACTTAATCTGGTGTTAATGAGCGAAGTTTATTGGCTTGTGTGTAAAACCCCGTTTTTCTGGTAATCCTATTATTACTTAGTTTATTTCTATCTAATGACACCCTGTTTTCTGGATCATTGCTCCGTGACTATCCATAACAATTAAGATGAACATTCAGTTCAAGTAAATGAATGAGTTTGTTTTGACGCTACAGTCAGTAAAAAAAACAATGCTGTGATGTTTGATAACACACTCTTACCAGGTCGAACATCGTGGGTCCTCATTTTCTGCCTAAAGAGAACCATAGTTCATATGCTAATCCATCTGCGAATACCCTCCCACTCAAGATTACCTTACTTGTTGCTAAATCTATCATCTACCCCCCCCCCCCCCCCCCCCCCCATCTCATCCCCACGCCCCCAACCCACACACGCACGCACGCACGCACGCACGCAAACACGTACACACACACACACACACACACACACACGCACGCACACACACACACACAAACACAAACACACACACAAACAACGGACCTAAATAACCTGGACAGTAAATACTGCTGATAGCCTCTAGTCAACTCAGCCTCGCCACCGCAGAATGTTCGTCCAACTCTGCAGGGGGCATTCTCAGTGGCTTCAAACGCGCTGAAATGTTTTCGCCTTGCATCCAAGATGGTGGACAAGTGAAATCGTATGAAATTTGGCTATTTTAGGTCCTATCTCTTTTTTGATTACCCAATAAAGTCAATTCATAGTTACACGGTTGTGAAGTAGCTTCCAACTTTATAAGACTTATTCATCTCATTCCAAAAAAGCTACTCGCACTCACATAAAGTTGTAGTTATTATGTCACTGTTTTATTTCTTTAAAAATATAATACATGTTCAACAATAACAATTAAGATGAACATTCAATTTCCGATATAAGTAAATGAATAAGTGTGTTTTACGCCACAATCAGTCAAAGACCAACGTTGTCCGGTCTGATGACACACAATCTACCAGGCAGCATATTGTGTACACCCTATCCCCATTGAAGTCTCCACTGTGGGTATTCCTGGGGACGAAAAGGCCCCATGTACCTAGGAATTTCATCAATACATTCATGCGCGGCATTCTCTGCCTAAAGAAGATCATATAGTTAACATGCTTATCCAACTCGAACTACCATCACGCTCAAGATGAATGTTTTATGTAACATCCAACAGGCCCACATTTACGCACGCACGCACGCACGCGCACACACATATTTGGATTTACCAATCCCTGAATTGAGAAGACGTGCGCTACGAAGCTCCTCCAAGTCATCATCAATATCCGTATATGTCTGTGATATCATTACCTATCCAAAGCCGAATATACATTTATTGTGCTTTCTTGACAACAAATGTTATAAATGGGATAACACTTTCGGAGTAAAGTACAGATTCTCGTACTTTCTTGGGTTGAGTCCCGTCCGGGATTTGAACCCACACTGTGAGTGGGGCACCCAATCGCCAGAACACAAAGTTGGCAATCTAACCCAGCCACCGAACCAAAAATGTTAGTCCAGATGACGTATACTTTGTGTTCTCCTCTGACAAGAGAAAAATGGCACGGCTTCTATGGCCGAAAGCTTTGAACCAACAATGCCTTTAAGAAAGTTGTCAACAGTAACACACATTATATTTGGATACCACTTTCTCAGTACACTACATATTTTTAGGGTGGAGATAATAGACGTTGATGGTTGATTATAAATGGACAAATTAAAGCCAAAACTTAACTTATGAATGATTGGTAATGGGAAATGGACAATGGGCAAACGGGAGGCGGGTAAAACAGCGCCAGTTATCTGTTGGCTTCCCTTGTTGCGTTCCCTTCTTTGCTATCTTTTTACTTTTGTTGTTTTTACAGGTACAAATATATGTTCTCTGCCTCATAGCATTTAATAATATTCACCTGATGAAGGAGAAAG